CCCACCTTTCTGCAGCCTCTCCTCATGATGATCAGCTCGCTCTTCTGTTTGCTAGCCGGCGCCCCGCCGATGGATGGCACCCAAGATTCAAGCCAACCGAGGAGCCAGTCGAAGCTTTTTTTGGTGCGCTCAGCCAGCTTCGCACCAGCAAAATGGCCCCCCTGAATGTTGCTCTCGAATCGTGCTGAGTCGAGCGACGGGCTACGTCTGGGTTGGCACGGCACGGCTTTTGAGCGTAGCCAGAGACTCGGGTCCCGGCTGAAGTCAACGTGGCTTTTAGCCTTGTGGTCACATCTGCCCGGAGACCAGTTGGAAGCCAAGGTGAGGTCACACGGGGACCCGGATGGGATCCCTACGTGCCGGTTTGGCAGGTGAGTTTGTTGCCGGGATGCTTCAGCTCAACGACTTGTCTTCTATTCTTGGAGCATTGTGCGGTGTGCTTTTTGACCCCAAACCTATCGAACTTTGTCAAATCCACAGTCTATCCACTCCAGTCGTCAAAGTCCGGGATGTTTTCTTGACGAAAGACCTCCCCAACGCTGCCGAAACCCACATCCGGCGCGTCAAAGGGCCAAGGCTCGCCGGCGCCGCTGGCAAAAAGCGCAAACATGGCACCCTCGAAAACCGAGTAACCCTGGCCGTTGGCCATTTGCCTGGTCTCGAATTGCTTTAACCAAGTGGTTTCACTATTACCGCGTGCGTACCCGAGGGAATAGACGGAGGGGCTGGCGTCGATGTGCAATACGAGATCTGAAGGGATAGATGTTGTGTTGAGAGCCCATTCGGTCGACTGCTAGCTCGTTAGTCTCAACATTGCATGACAGGCTTTCCCAACTGCGTGGTAACTTGCCACGGGCCTTGTCGATGGGCCGGCCGACTTGGGCAGCATATCCGTGTAAACACATAGCCCTGTTGCGTTCCAGCAGCCACGAACTCCAATGTCCTGGTGCGATACATCACTCAGATATGCCGAGATACCCACCTGCTGTCGTGGTCCGAGAACGCCCGTAGTAGGCAGCAGTGTCGCCGAAAACGTCATGTTCAAGGACGTTTGCTTGTGGAAGAGTGCTGCGGGGACATCCCGGTCGCTGAGAGTGAAGACATTTGGGTGGAAAACGAGGCCGCCCGTCATCTTTCCAGCAGTGCTGTTGCCCGCCGCGCCGAGGAGACGATAGTTCTCTGTATATGGTGTTCGGACCTGGTACCAGCTGAGGTCGAGCTTTGCGCCCTCAAAATTTTCGATCCAAGGCTTGCGAACAACGTTCCCCTCTGTGAACTGGCTTGGCAAAAGGTACCGTCCGCCGTTCATGGTAGGCCATCCATCGGCCCATGTCACATTGACGAGAAAGGCCTCACGCCCTAGCGGCGAGGCACCTTTGACGTTGCGCCTCGCGAGGAGGGAAGCAAACCACGCACCACCGGGCGTCTCAGTAAAGGTCGCATGTCCCGTGGACTGAATAGTCAATGTCTGGTCTGCTCCGTTATAGATGAGAGGGTTATTTGGCGCTGCCTCCCACGGCCCCTCTGGACTTTTCGACCTGCCGATGGTCGCCCGGTGTCCGGTACTCGTCCCACCTTCGGCGAGCAGTAAGTAGTACCACCCCTCACGCTTGAACATTTTGGGGCCTTCTGGCCGAGATTTTGCATCATGCGGCAACGTGCCATTCCATGTGTTGAAGTATGGGCCGATACACTTGCCGGATCGAAGGTCAACCTCACACTGGGTGATGCCCCATACGCGGTCGTGGTTGTTATTCGGGCCCATGAGGAGAAGGTACGTTTTTCCAGAGTCGGGGTCACGGAACAGCTCCGGGTCGATGCCATACGGTTCCGCCCAAACGAGGTCCGTCCACGTCTCGAGATCCTCCGAGGACGTCCACCAGATACGCGGCCAGGTGCGGTTATCGGGATCATCGCCCCAGCGCGTCATCGAAGTGATGTAGAAGCGGCCATCGATGTGCGAAAACCCAGGCGCCCAGACACCTGTTGAAAATGAATCCTCAGCATGAAAGTTCTCCTCGAGGACATGGGGCTTACCGTTGCCGGAAGAAATGCCGTTGAGCTGGAGCTGCTGGGGTTCCTGGAGGGCATGCGAGACGAGCTCCCAGTTGGCGAGGTCTCGGGAGCGATAGATGGGCACGCCGGGAAAGTACGTGAAGGATGAGACGGCGATGTAGTACGTGTCGTCCACCCGGAGGATGGCCGGGTCTGGGTTCCATCTGGCAGCGGCCTGGTTAACCGGCTGTATTCAACAAGACTCTGGGGCTTTTGTCGTCCTACCCTGGGAGTATGGGATTCTTGATGGCCGAGACGACTGTACCCGCCAGCAGGACGGCGTTTGCGAATATGGGCTTCATTACACTGACGTGGCGCGGATATCACAAACGGTGCAAAAAGACACCGTTCACAGGATGACGTCTCATATTAAAGCATATCATGATAGTCCCGGAAGGGTGGCGCCCGCCCAGCATTGTAATTCTCCGGCGACGACAGTTCTGATCGTCTCTCTCCGATGTTGTGCATGGAAGCGGTCTTCTTTCCCAGACGGGTGATGCGGAGAGGGCGGGCACAGAAGGAATTGGCTGCGGATAAAGACGTCTGCCGATCATGGGCGTGGATCAAGAGACCTGCTCAGAACAAGTTGCAACCCAACGTCGGTTGCAGACTCCGATTCATAGGTGGAATCGCATTCGACCGTGAACATGTGCATATAGGAATCCGATCTTCACCCGTGCAGATTGACTTTGCTGTTAGACTCTGCGGGGGAAGGATTAGGAGGCGATCAACCGAGGCTGTATCCAATGCTAATGTGGATGAGGGTGAGTGAGCATTTCAACATGGCTGAATTCACTCAGAGTCAGAGGCGCTGTTGCTTTTTTTTTGACATTGCCAACTGTGGATGAAGATACCACAACAATGGTTGAAGGTTCTCAATATGCTGAAATGGCTGTTGCGCAAGGTTTGCTGCCCCTTTGGCGACTGTATGACCTTCGTCATACTTACCAGATGCCTGGCGGCTTGTCATGACTCTCAAGATGAGTTCTTTGGCCGTCCATCAAAATCAACAAGTAGAAGGCAAAGTCGTGTAGACAGTAGAATGATACAGCAGGACGCTAGGAGCATGTGGTTATCGTCGGATCCTGGTGTTTGGAGGGCCAACCGACAGTGCTAAATCATGGCAAGGGCTTGTCATATTATCGGGAATCTGTGATGCATGCGAGCGGTCCTGATACTTTCGCTGCACACCATGGTCAGATTCGAAACTTTGAAGCTTCGTAAAACGCCGTTCGTAAAACGCCGAGAAGAAGTCGAATGCAAGATCATGCATGCAGGTGTCATGTAATTTTGGCCCAGGACGCTATTGGAAAGCAAGGTAGACTGCAAACAACTCTCGCAAGTAACACATGCCTCCTTGGCCTGTAGACGAGGCCAGAAGCTTCTCTACGC